ACGGTCTCTGCAGCCTTCCCAAAGCCCGGGGTATAACCGTCTAAAAAGCTCCAGCTACATTGAAACGTGAGAACTGGCACGACGAGGACCGATTGCCTGTGTGTAAAAAGCAGTGTCAGCGACATGCCTCTGAGGAGCTGAGTGCCCGTATGCAGGTAGAGCCGCAGTGTGGGGAGGCAGCATCTTTTACTGCACCGACATCTGTTGGTGCAGCCTTCCCAAAGCCCGGGGTATAACCGTCTAAAAAGCTCCAGCTACATTGAAACGTGAGAACTGGCACGACGAGGACCGATTGCCTGTGTGTAAAAAGCAGTGTCAGCGACATGCCTCTGAGGAGCTGAGTGCCCGTATGCAGGTAGAGCCGCAGTGTGGGGAGGCAGCATCTTTTACTGCACCGACATCTGTTGGTGAAAGAAACAAGTCGTAGGCCCTGCAAAGCTCTTAAGTATAACGTGCTAAGGCTGAGGGGGCTATTAGGTAAATAAGAATGGATGCTTGGTTCCCTTTGTTTCTCCTCTTGTATCACCAGTAAACACTGAAGGATGGTGCGGGGGTAGAGGGGGGCAGGAAGGACCAGAAAATCTTTGTATCATCAGATTCCTCTGCTCTTCTCAGTGTTATAATCCAGAGACAAGATAATGCTTTTCAATCACCTATTTTTGTCCTAAATTTTATTTTCAGTTGTTCTTTTGTTTGTGCTTTTTTTATTATTAAGTAAGAGACTGTAAAAGGAGGTTGGGGAATAGGATTTGTTTGTGTGGTTTTGGACCAGAAAAATCAGCCAGGACAAAACATTGACACATTTGCTGTGGGAGGCTGTGGAATCTCCATCACTGGAGATATTTAAGAGCAGGTTGGATAGACATCTGTCAGAGATGGTCTAGATCAGGGGTGGGCAAAGGGGCCTCCGTGGGCTAGATTCGGCCTGCCAAGCAGGTGAATCTGGCCCGTGGAGGCTCTGCTACTCCCCCGCCCCAAAGCCAATTAGGGTATGGGGGCTAGGAAGCTCCTGAAGCCTTCTCCACTCTGCCCACCCACTGCTCACTGAATGGGGGCAAAGCAGAGAAGGCTTCGGGCGCTCCCCCACCCCCAGGTCTTAATTGTCCCAGAGAGGCATAAGGGAGTTTTGCACAAAACAGCCAGGGCCACACTGCCTGTTTTTGTGCAAAAATGGAACGAAAGAGTATGCAAATGAATCACAGGAAAATGCTAATCTGTACTTCATTTGCATAGGCTCTTGCGGCAAAACTCATAGCCAAATAGTTTTGTCACAATTTAAATTTATAGATCCATTGTCATCTGGAATTCTGCAGTCAGGTTCCCATGTCACAGCCAGTATATAATCTGAACCTGGCATTGTGAACCACAATGGATGATATGCTTGCTAGATTTGCTGCAACTGATCACTGTTTTTTACATATTCACACATTTTAAAGAGATAATTCAGACATTTTGTGGATTTACCAGAAACGTACCACATATCCTAGAGAGGATGCCAGAGATCAGTAGGTTGAGAACATGATCAGTCTTGAGCATATGCTGCTTTCCTGAATGAATTAAGTTATTATAGTTTATGCAAAATATATAATCCAATTATTAATTTGTGATTTTCAGTTATTTTCTGTTTTAGCAAATTAATCATAAAGCTTCCATGACTTTTTTCATTTACAAAGATGTTGAAATAACAGATAATTTGTTTAACCTAGAAATAATATGAATAGTTCACATTCAATTACAATTTTGTCAGTATGCATTTGTGTAGAAATGACCTCATTTTGCATAGTCAGGTGAATGGGAGGGATCAAGTGACCTACATGTAGAGAGAACCTTAAATCTTTGTTTTTCAGAGGATTGATCAAATTGGGGGCAAATGTGTTATATGGGACTATGTCATTCTGCCATTGAAAACTGCAGCATAGTAGTAGAGGATGTATTACCTTTTTTTTATTCTACCCACGTCTTTTTCCAGTTTTGACATGATTAACGGTTGATTCTTGCTTAGGTGAAAAGGCCAGCTTTTCCTATTTTCAGCCATTAGCAGGCTGTATCTGCGTCTTGTAAGCCTCTAGACGTGAGGCCCTTGCATCATGGAGACTGACCACATCAAGGAAAAGTAGAAATGCTAGTGTGAGATTTAATACCTGTGCTGTGTAATGTAGAGGTGTAGAGTTGATTTGGGCTCAGAGAGGTCTCTGTGATGATGATAGCTTAGCCCCCTAGGTAGTTTTTTTTTTTTTTTTTTTGTATGTAAGCATTAGTTGGAACACAACATAGACTTATCCATTGTTAGCTCCCCACTCAGCCAAGCATATGCTCCTGTTTTAACATTTCACAAATCCTCCATTACTCATCCCCACTCTCCTGGTGGAAGTAAATCTACCAGATGACATGGCAGAAGATTGGGGGGAAATTTAAAGATTTGATAAGGAGCCTCAAATTTGTGTCAACGACCCCAGAAATACTGACCAAATATTTTCTCCAACTGCTCTATTCATAATGTAAAAAATATGGAATAATTTTCACTTTGATAAATTCTACAATGAATTGTGTAGAAATGATCGTGTTTACTTATAAAATGTATGACAGATTTGCACTGCTTTACAGATGCACAGTATTGAAAGTGTAAGGGGGAAGAGGTGGGAATCTGGGGATATATGCCTTTAACTATATCACCAGATTGATGGCTTGTTGGTCATAGAATCACAATATCAGGAGAAGTGGTCAGTTACTAATGTAGTAATTACAGAGCTGTAATATGGAGCCAGGGTAAGCAAAGGACTCTATAATTAATAATAGTTTGTTTAGTTTGTGTTTAAAACAGTAACATGAAATGTGTTGTAAAGTAACTGATTTCACCTCAAGTCTTGTTTTGTTGCTTACGTTTGCTGCCTAGTGGTTAGAGAATAAAACAGTGAGTTAAGACTTCAGAGTTTTGTCCTTGTCTCTGACACTGGCTTGCTGTGACCTTGGGCAAATCACCTGGTCCCACATTTTCAAAAAGTGGCCACTAATTTTGAGTCTCTCAATTTGCTCCCGTGAAGTTTCCTCCTAGCAAGTTGGGGATCTTCTAGGATAGTGGTTCCCAATCTTTTTGATACTGGGACCAGTTAACCCATTCACAAGCTTTTGGAGGACTGGTAACATATATTTTCATATTTGCATATTCATTAAGCAAATGATGAATATGCAAATAATTGTGTCACTGGCCCTACCTGTCCAGCAGGTTGTTCTGCCACCCCTCCCCCCGGCCCCAATCCCAACCGCTTTATTGGCCGGCGCCAGCTCCCCCAGCTATGCTGGGCATTCTGCGTTGGATTCTAGCATCCGCCGGATTTAGCCCCACCGCTGGGAGCATGCCCAGCAGAGATGCCACAGCAGCAGGCTATCTACCAAGAGGGCCATGCTGCCGTTACCCTGTCACACTAATTAATAGGAGCATGCATGATCATTTTTCTAAGGACCAGTATTTTTTTTTCTAAGGACTGATACTGGCCCGTGGACCACACTTTGGGAAACGCTGTTCTAGGAGACTCCTGGGTAGATTCTCAGCTGGTGAAAATTATCATGGATCTGCCCTGCCACCTTTGCCACATTACTCTTATTACAACATTTGCTGTAGCAAAAACAGGTGTTATTATCAAGGGATTGTGCTTGATCCAAGATTTTTGCATCAGCTTGAGAATAAACTTTGTGAGTGCTGTTTTTGAATGCTGAAGCCTTTATGTATTCAAGTTTCTATTATTAATTTTTTCTCATAATAGTATATTTCTTTGGTACTTAATAATACCATGGTACTTAACAGTATTGCTTAACAAGCAATCTCTGCAATAGCTAATTTAATACCTGTGAATTCACTGTGTTCAAATTGTGTGCTCAAGGTAACAGCTGGATTATAGAGTGTTTGCTGTACGTTGCCAAGGTCTTGGTCCTGTGAGGTCTGGATGTTTATAAAGAAAGTTCTTTAAGGAGCTATGATGCAGCAATGGTTAGAGCATAGGTCTGTGAGTCAAGAACCTATATTGTATTCCCAAGTCTGCCAGACACATGCTTTTGTAATCCTGAGCAGGGTTATCATTCTGCACTTGTTCCTTCATATATATATAAACAAGGGATAGTAGCCAGGTATTTCAAAAGCATATTTAGATGGCCTGTTTTTTGAAAGTGCTCAGCACCTAGCAGCATCCATAGTGGAACACCTTTGAAAACCCTTCAGGTTTCTAAATATGAATATAGAAGCCTAATTTTAAGTACCCACTTTTTAAAATCTTGACTGTATTTAGATAACCACAGTATTTTTCTAACATAACATCATGAATATTCAGTCTTTTTTGATCTTACAAATAAAAAAGTCCACAAAAGCCTTGAAATCAGGGGAAGTTAAGAACCTAAATACCTTTGTGGATCTGGACCAAAGCATCTAATATATACATTTTGTGGGTGTGTACTCTCTTGCTCTCTCTCTGTCCACAATGCTGATGTTCATTCTGGCACCATATTCAAATTCTTCCTTCAGCAGTTTCCCAGGCAACCAACTAGCCTCAGAATGAGTCTGCGCAAGAAAGAAGGAAACAAAAAACCTTGCAACATTTTCATTCTTGTCAATAATTCCCCATAGTTTGAAAAAAATCCAGATACACAAGTATGGAAATGGCTGCAGCATAAATTACTTCCTAATTACAGCCCACACATGCCTACATAGGTAACCAGACAC